TTATTGATTTCAGTATGATTATTGTATAATTAATATTTAAAAAAATTATTGAGTTACTATTACAGCAACATTAACTCTTTCAACACTTTATTAAATTTTTTTTTGCCTTGTCCAATATATACGATACAAAAATTTACAGCAAAAAAAAACTGTTTTTAGATTTTTACTAAAAAAATTTGAACATAAGTTAGACTTTTTTAATAAATATATAAACAGCTTTGAATTTAAATAATTTATAAATAAAGTTTTACTTCAAGTTCATTTGATGAATCTTTTTATTATATAATTATCTTTGATAACTTATAGTATAGCAAATTTGTTTATTAAAATATACTATATCTATACAAAATCATAAAAAAAAAAAAAATTAAAAATTTGCCTTTAATACGTAATACTTTGAGTAGGCATTAAAAAAATAATAAAAGGTTTAATACGATCAGGGGTTGTAAAAAAATACAACACAAATTGAAATTAGAGGTCAAAAATTTATTAATATTTGCTGACAATGTTTTAATAATTATAATAAAGTTCAAAGTATATAATGTTTATTTAAAATGATGTTAATTCATTAACACAGCTAAATCTTTGAAATTGTTTGAGAACTGACTTACAGAAGACCTGTTAATATCTAAATGTTTAGCAATTACATCAAGAAACAATAAATTTATTAGAAAACCCTACAAAAAATGATGAAGAGCCCTAAATGAACCTACCAAAAATGATAAAGAGCTCACAAAAAACTAAGAAAAAATGATAATAAAAACTATGAAGAAAATACAAAAAAACTTAATGGAAAAAAACCTACTGGATCACCAAGATAATGAGAAATCCACGCGACTTCAATCAGTTCTGAGACTCTAACAACAAAAAGCTTACAAAAAAATAAGAAAAAAACAACAATGAAAATTACAAAGAAAAAATGAAAGAAAATAAAAAAACCTACTGAATTACCAAAGTAACAAGAAATCTAAGTGACTTCAAGACAGTTCTGAGGCTCCAACGACGAAGAGCCCACAAAAAAACGATGATGAAAACTACAAAGAAGATATAAAAGAAAATAATAGAAAAAACCTACTGAATCACCAAAGTAATAAGAAATTTATGCGTCAAAACAGTTCTGAAGTTCCAACTATAGCTTTAACGATGACTCCAACAATAGCTTCAATGATGGCTCTAAAAAAAATATACAGTATTTGTGTTAAAAAAAAATAGATA